AGGCGGGCAAGGCGGGTCTGTCCACAGCAGCCATCGTTGGCATCGTGGCGGCGGCACTGCTGCTTCTGCTGCTCCTCGCCGCAGCTTGGTGGACCTTCACTCGCTCTCGCCGCGGCAAGCCAACTACAGGTTTCTCTCTTCTCATTTCATGCGGTCGCTCATGTCTGCTGCTGAGAAGAATCAAGTGCACATGCAAGTGTGGGTCAGAATGGCAGAAGAAGCCCCTCTCCCTCCCCCCGTCCCTCCCTCCCTCCCTCCCGCCCACCCTCCCTCCGTTCCTTCACGTTTTCTTACGCGTAATTTTACGTAAAGTCGCACGGGCAGGGCAAAAAAAGTTAATTTGCCTGCGAAACGAGAAAATCTGACTGATATGAGGTGGGAGAGGCTGTGGCATGTCCGTGTAGATTTGGGGCATCTGTAAGTTGATGTAATAATGTGCTAACATGCTTGGGCGTAGAAGAACCAAGCTAGTGATAGATTAGGCGCTTCCCATGCAGCCACTTAGTCCGATGATTTCTTATCTTTCTAGGCAGCCAGAAATGTTTCTGGCTGACCGTAAACGTAAAGCCATTTTGGGCCCACGTAAGTAAACGTAAGTTTACTACGTAAAGTCACGTAAACGTAAACCCCCGTAAACTTACAATACCAACTAAGGTGCACCCCTGTGCTCCCCTGTGCATGCCTTTGCACCCATGTGCATGTCTCTGTACCCCTGGGCATGTCTTCGTATCCATGTGCATGCCCTCACCCATGTGCATGCCCTCACCCATTTGCATGCCCTCACCCATGTGCATGCCCTCACCCATGGGCATGCCTTCGTATCCATGTGCATGCCCTCACCCATGTGCATGCCCTCACCCATGTGCATGCCCTCACCCATGTGCATGCCCTCACCCGTGCGCATGCCCTCACCCATGTGCATGCCCTCACCCATGTGCATGCCCTTACCCATGTGCATGCCCTCACCCATGGGCATGCCTTCGTATCCATGTGCATGCCCTCACCCATATGCATGCCCTCACCCATGTGCATGCCCTCACCCATGTGCATGCCCTCACCCATGTGCATGCCCTCACCTATGTGCATGCCCTCACCCGTGTGCATGCCCTCACCCATGTGCATGCCCTCACCCGTGTGCATGCCCTCACCCGTGTGCATGCCCTCACCCGTGTGCATGCCCTCACCCGTGTGCATGCCCTCACCCATGTGCATGCCCTCACCCATGTGCATGCCCTCACCCATGTGCATGCCCTCACCCATGTGCATGCCCTCACCCATGTGCATGCCCTCACCCATGTGCATGCTCTCACCACTGTGCAGCTGCACCCGCACGGGTGGCGGGCATGCCCAGCGGCCCCGCGGCATTCCAGCAGTTCCCCCTCGACGTGGTCGCGCGCGCCACCAACCACTGGGCCACGGCCAACTTGCTGGGGGCGGGCAGCTTTGGCGACGTGTACAAGGGGGTGTCGCCCCTTGATGGCTCGCTGTGGGCCGTGAAGCGCGCCAAAGTCATCACCAGTGACTTCTTGGAGTAGTGGTGAGGGTGACTGAGCGAGAAAGTGTTTAGAGGTGTGACGAGATGGAAGAGGGGGGACTGGTTGGGTGAAAGAGTCTCGGGTTGCAAATTGTGCGCACTATGAAGAAGCGGAAAGATGCGAAGATCGAACAAATGAGAGAAGAAAATGAAAGAAATCATTGGATGCAACATAATATTTTTAAAATTACATGATAGCACAGTGCAGTGAGTGAGCTTGTGGTGCAGTGTCGTGTCGTGCCGTGACCACTACGACCCTCTGTTGTGCAGGTGGCTCAGATGGCCACGAAGCACCACCCCAACTTGGTGCGCCTGCTGGGGTTTGCAGTGGGAGGCGACGTGCACACGCGGGGGGAGAACGTGTTGGTGTACGAGTTCATCGCCAACGGGGACCTCCAGCGCTGGTTGAGCCCAGGTGCACCGCGTGCAGCAGCAGTCCCACCGCGGGCTGTAGCATCACTGTTGCTTGTTCCAGTGACTTGCTTGCTAGATGTGTGTGTACGCGCATGAGTGGATCCTGCACACCCTTGTCCTTGGACTTCTATTCTCTCTTGCTTTCCCACTGTGCCCCGAAATTGTCTTACAGATGCTGCCTTTGTTCATGTGGCCTCCCTCCGTCTGGCCCTTCCCCCAGACGCGCCCACAACGCTGAGCCTGCAGCAGTGGGTGGACGTCCTGGTGGGGGCGGCGCGCGGGGTGGAGTATCTGCACTCGTTTGGCATCGTGCACCGCGACATCAAGCCCGCCAACATCCTGCTCGACACCCACATGCAGGTCAGTGCAACACATGACTGCCAGTGCAACACATGACTGCCAGTGCAACACATGACTGCCAGTGCAACACATGACTGCCAGTGCAACACATGACTGCCAGTGCAACACATGACTGCCAGTGCAACACATGACTGCCAGTGCAACACATGACTGCCAGTGCAACACATGACTGCCAGTGCAACACATGACTGCCAGTGCAACACATGACTGCCAGTGCAACACATGACTGCCAGTGCAACACATGACTGCCAGTGCAACACATGACTGCCAGTGCAACACATGACTGCCAGTGCAACACATGACTGCCAGTGCAACACATGACTGCCAGTGCAACACATGACTGCCAGTGCAACACATGACTGCCAGTGCAACACATGACTGCCAGTGCAACACATGACTGCCAGTGCAACACATGACTGCCAGTGCAACACATGACTGCCAGTGCAACACATGACTGCCAGTGCAACACATGACTGCCAGTGCAACACATGACTGCCAGTGCAACACATGACTGCCAGTGCAACACATGACTGCCAGTGCAACACATGACTGCCAGTGCAACACATGACTGCCAGTGCAACACATGACTGCCAGTGCAACACATGACTGCCAGTGCAACACATGACTGCCAGTGCAACACATGACTGCCAGTGCAACACATGACTGCCAGTGCAACACATGACTGCCAGTGCAACACATGACTGCCAGTGCAACACATGACTGCCAGTGCAACACATGACTGCCAGTGCAACACATGACTGCCAGTGCAACACATGACTGCCAGTGCAACACATGACTGCCAGTGCAACACATGACTGCCAGTGCAACACATGACTGCCAGTGCAACACATGACTGCCAGTGCAACACATGACTGCCAGTGCAACACATGACTGCCAGTGCAACACATGACTGCCAGTGCAACACATGACTGCCAGTGCAACACATGACTGCCAGTGCAACACATGACTGCCAGTGCAACACATGACTGCCAGTGCAACACATGACTGCCAGTGCAACACATGACTGCCAGTGCAACACATGACTGCCAGTGCAACACATGACTGCCAGTGCAACACATGACTGCCAGTGCAACACATGACTGCCAGTGCAACACATGACTGCCAGTGCAACACATGACTGCCAGTGCAACACATGACTGCCAGTGCAACACATGACTGCCAGTGCAACACATGACTGCCAGTGCAACACATGACTGCCAGTGCAACACATGACTGCCAGTGCAACACATGACTGCCAGTGCAACACATGACTGCCAGTGCAACACATGACTGCCAGTGCAACACATGACTGCCAGTGCAACACATGACTGCCAGTGCAACACATGACTGCCAGTGCAACACATGACTGCCAGTGCAACACATGACTGCCAGTGCAACACATGACTGCCAGTGCAACACATGACTGCCAGTGCAACACATGACTGCCAGTGCAACACATGACTGCCAGTGCAACACATGACTGCCAGTGCAACACATGACTGCCAGTGCAACACATGACTGCCAGTGCAACACATGACTGCCAGTGCAACACATGACTGCCAGTGCAACACATGACTGCCAGTGCAACACATGACTGCCAGTGCAACACATGACTGCCAGTGCAACACATGACTGCCAGTGCAACACATGACTGCCAGTGCAACACATGACTGCCAGTGCAACACATGACTGCCAGTGCAACACATGACTGCCAGTGCAACACATGACTGCCAGTGCAACACATGACTGCCAGTGCAACACATGACTGCCAGTGCAACACATGACTGCCAGTGCAACACATGACTGCCAGTGCAACACATGACTGCCAGTGCAACACATGACTGCCAGTGCAACACATGACTGCCAGTGCAACACATGACTGCCAGTGCAACACATGACTGCCAGTGCAACACATGACTGCCAGTGCAACACATGACTGCCAGTGCAACACATGACTGCCAGTGCAACACATGACTGCCAGTGCAACACATGACTGCCAGTGCAACACATGACTGCCAGTGCAACACATGACTGCCAGTGCAACACATGACTGCCAGTGCAACACATGACTGCCAGTGCAACACATGACTGCCAGTGCAACACATGACTGCCAGTGCAACACATGACTGCCAGTGCAACACATGACTGCCAGTGCAACACATGACTGCCAGTGCAACACATGACTGCCAGTGCAACACATGACTGCCAGTGCAACACATGACTGCCAGTGCAACACATGACTGCCAGTGCAACACATGACTGCCAGTGCAACACATGACTGCCAGTGCAACACATGACTGCCAGTGCAACACATGACTGCCAGTGCAACACATGACTGCCAGTGCAACACATGACTGCCAGTGCAACACATGACTGCCAGTGCAACACATGACTGCCAGTGCAACACATGACTGCCAGTGCAACACATGACTGCCAGTGCAACACATGACTGCCAGTGCAACACATGACTGCCAGTGCAACACATGACTGCCAGTGCAACACATGACTGCCAGTGCAACACATGACTGCCAGTGCAACACATGACTGCCAGTGCAACACATGACTGCCAGTGCAACACATGACTGCCAGTGCAACACATGACTGCCAGTGCAACACATGACTGCCAGTGCAACACATGACTGCCAGTGCAACACATGACTGCCAGTGCAACACATGACTGCCAGTGCAACACATGACTGCCAGTGCAACACATGACTGCCAGTGCAACACATGACTGCCAGTGCAACACATGACTGCCAGTGCAACACATGACTGCCAGTGCAACACATGACTGCCAGTGCAACACATGACTGCCAGTGCAACACATGACTGCCAGTGCAACACATGACTGCCAGTGCAACACATGACTGCCAGTGCAACACATGACTGCCAGTGCAACACATGACTGCCAGTGCAACACATGACTGCCAGTGCAACACATGACTGCCAGTGCAACACATGACTGCCAGTGCAACACATGACTGCCAGTGCAACACATGACTGCCAGTGCAACACATGACTGCCAGTGCAACACATGACTGCCAGTGCAACACATGACTGCCAGTGCAACACATGACTGCCAGTGCAACACATGACTGCCAGTGCAACACATGACTGCCAGTGCAACACATGACTGCCAGTGCAACACATGACTGCCAGTGCAACACATGACTGCCAGTGCAACACATGACTGCCAGTGCAACACATGACTGCCAGTGCAACACATGACTGCCAGTGCAACACATGACTGCCAGTGCAACACATGACTGCCAGTGCAACACATGACTGCCAGTGCAACACATGACTGCCAGTGCAACACATGACTGCCAGTGCAACACATGACTGCCAGTGCAACACATGACTGCCAGTGCAACACATGACTGCCAGTGCAACACATGACTGCCAGTGCAACACATGACTGCCAGTGCAACACATGACTGCCAGTGCAACACATGACTGCCAGTGCAACACATGACTGCCAGTGCAACACATGACTGCCAGTGCAACACATGACTGCCAGTGCAACACATGACTGCCAGTGCAACACATGACTGCCAGTGCAACACATGACTGCCAGTGCAACACATGACTGCCAGTGCAACACATGACTGCCAGTGCAACACATGACTGCCAGTGCAACACATGACTGCCAGTGCAACACATGACTGCCAGTGCAACACATGACTGCCAGTGCAACACATGACTGCCAGTGCAACACATGACTGCCAGTGCAACACATGACTGCCAGTGGCACTCATGACCATTGTTGCTTTCTACTGTCCTCCTCCCCTTCCCCTGTCCCGCCCATCAGCCCAAGGTGGCTGACTTTGGGCTCGTGCGAGGGGGGGACGGCACAGCTGTGGGGTCGACGAGGGTGATGGGCACGGTGGGCTATGTGGACCCTGCTTACACCAGGACGCACACCACCACCACCGTCACCGACCTCTACAGGTGAGCGCACGTGCATGTGCATGTGCTTCCTCGTTCCTCCAGACTGTGCATGTGCAGCCATACCTGGCTCTCTACGCTTGTCTTGCTGACTGTGCATGAGCGTGCTTGTCTGTACCACCTTTCATCTCCTCCGACCGTGCTTGTCTTCTATATCGCTTCACCTCCATGCCCCCTTCTCTTTATTCCCTTCCCAAGGTTCTTTTGACTTGACACGGCACTCTCCTCTCGTTGTGTTTCTGTGTTTACTGTGTCTCCTGAACGCCTTGCGGCGCAGCTTCGGTGTGCTGATGCTGGTGGTGCTGTCGGGGAGGGGAGCCGTCGTCACGGAGGCAAAGGAGAACGACGGCCCCAGGCACCCGCACGAGGACCGCGAGCCCACCACCATTGTTCACTGGGTGCGTCTCTGTGTGCACTTACACTCACTGCGTCCATGCTCACTATGTGCGTGCATTCTGTGTGTGTGTGTGTGCTCGCTGCGTGCGTGCACTCGCTGTGTGCGTTCACCTCTTTGTCTAAGTCGACTCGATACAAGCCACCATCAGCATGTGGATCACTTATCATCAACTCAGTCTCTCAAGCACTACCTGTGGCAGATTCACGTGCTGGCTTACCATATGCCCTGCTCCCCACACCGTCCATCCTCCTCTCCAACTTCTCCATCCATTCTACCCCCTTTCCCAATCTCCTCCCCCCTCCACCCTTCCTCCCCCACCTATGCCACAGGCGAGCGAGCTGCTGTCAGCGGGGAAGGCAGGGAGTGTGGGGGATGCGCGCATGGCGGCACCTGAGAGCATCATCACACGCGTTGCCCAGCTCGCCATCAACTGCACTGCCATGCCCACCGCCTCACGCCCCTCTATGGCCCAAGTGGCCCAGCACCTGGAGGCAGTGCGGTCGGAGTTGGGAGGGGGGTGTGCGAGTGCGTCGGGGGCAGAGATAGTGGATTCGATGATTGAGAAGCTGGAGAGGACCATGGACGAGGATCTGGAGCTGCTCAACTCACAGTTCTCCGAGTAGACACGCGGGCGGAGCCGCCATGCTCGCAGGGGAATGCTGCTGTCGCGCTGTAATTTCCGCCGCGCTGAGGCCGAGGACCGACTTGGAGCAAAGAGGCGCTATGCATGAATAGAGGAAAGCGCTTCAACCAACCTTGAATTGCTTTTGTGTTTGTATTATAGCTTCAACAACGATAGCCAACAGCTGTATAATTATATAATGCAAATTTCATACAAGATGCTAAAAAAATATGCAAATTAAGGTACCATACCAATCCACATCCTTCTTCTATAAATTAAGTACTGTGCGTATCATAGGACTTGATTGCTGAAAAAATAACATCTTGCTGCCATCTTTCTAAGGGCGAACAATATTTGTTGCCAAAGCTGCGCCCTTGGCCTGTCAAACATATATGCTGCTTATTGTGTAGGCTGTAGTGGGGTAGCCCATATGGGGTGCTACCCAAATTAGGGTTTCCTACTTGTACCCATCATCCTGCTAGTTCATTCATTCCTGCTGCTAGATTTTGACATGGTATAAGAGCACTAAGGTCCTTAGGACCGTTTATTTTTTTCGGGCCCACCTACCGCTGCGGTTACCGACCTACCCCACGTACCTGCCTGCCTTGCCTTGCCTTGTGACGTGCTGCACTACGCGCGCGTGCCTCCTGCTGCCCTAGGCTCGCGCGCCGCCCCTACAGGCCCTTCAAGCCCGCGAACCGCCCCTACAGGCCCGTCGGGCCCCCTGCTGCCGCGTGCTGCCCGCACCGAGCCCACGCAGCCCGCGCCGAGCCGCGCGCAGCCCGCTGCTGCCGCGCGCTGCCCGCACCGAGCCCGCGCAGCCCGCGCCGAGCCGCGCGCAGCCCGCTGCTGCCGCGCGCTGCCCGCACCGAGCCCGCGCAGCCCGCGCCGAGCCGCGCGCAGCCCGCTGCTGCCGCGCGCAGCCCGCGCCGAGCCGTGCGCGGCCCGCTACTGCCTCGCGTGGCCCGCGCGCGGCCCGCAGCAGCCCGCGCCGAGCCGCGCGCGGCCCGCTACTGCCTCACGCGACCTGCGCGCGGCCTGCACCAGCCCAGCGCGTTGTCCGCGCAGCCTGCGCCGAGCCGCGCGCGGCCCTCTGCCTCGGCCCCGACCTGCCGCTGATGCGGCCCCACCCTGCAGCTGCAACGGCCCCGACCTGCCGCTGCCACGGCCCCGACCTGCCGCTGATGCGGCCCCGCCCTGCAGCTGCCGCGACCCCGACCTGCCGCTGACGCGGCCCCACCCTGCGACTGCCGCTGAAGCGGTCCCGCCCTGCAGCTGCCGCGGCCCTACTCTGCAGCCGCTGTTGCGGCCCCGCCGTCGCCGCCGTCGTGCGCCTACCCGGCCGCCGCCCGCCGAGCGCCGGCCCTTTCCACCCTTTGGTGAGCACCTGCCTGCCTGCCTGCCTGTCTGCCGGCCTGCCTGCCTGTCTGCCTGCCTGCCTGTTGGCCTGCCTGCCTGCCGGCCTGCCTGTCTGCCTGCCTGCCTGTTGGCCTGCCTGCCTGCCTGTCTGCCTGCCGGCCTGCCTGTCGGCCTGCCTGTCTGCCTGCCTACCTGCCTACCTGCCTGCCGGCCTACATGTCTGCCTGCCTGCCTGTCTGCCTGCCTGCCTGCCTGCCGGCCTGCCTGCCTGTCTGCCGGCCTATCTGCCTGCTTGCCGCGCCTGCCCGAGCTGCCCGAGCTGCTGCTACTACTCTTGCTATTAGCAGGTGGCCAGATGCAGCTCCAGCGTCGTTCCCGCGAGTCTCTCACGCCCCAGCAGCTTGATGAGTGGTATACTAGTTGGGGCTGTCGAGGTAGCCGTCGTAGCAGTCGCCCTGGAGCTGGTCAGTTGGGGGCGTCTGGCAGTGGCCAGCTGCAGCTGCAGGGGCGTCCACGCGAGACACTTACGCCCCGGCAGCTCCAGGAGTGGTACGCTCAGTGTAGCAGGTCTACGCGTACAGTTCGCTGCCCGTACGTCATTCGCACAGGTGATAGGACTGGTCAGCCTTGTGGGACGCTTGGTCACACACAGTCCCGCTGCTTCGCCCGTCTGAGCGACGACTGGCGTACAGTGTTTGGCGACGAGGCTGAGCTCCCCACCTGGCTGGAGCTGCTTGGACAGAGGGTAGATATCTTTGCTCTTGACTATGATGCTATTCTCACTGCCATGTATGCATTGCCTACTAGTGCTGACCGTGCCTGTTACCTGTGCGTACCGCCTGAGACTTGTATAGAGCCTGCTGCTCTCGGTGCTGGTGAGGCTGCTGCTCTAGGTGCTAGTGCGTCTCCTGCTCTAGGTGCTGGTGAGGCTGCTGCTCTAGGTGCTAGTACGTCTCCTGCTCTAGGTGCTGGTGAGGCTGCGGCTCCAGGTGCTGGTGAGTCTGCTCTCTCTGGTGCTGCGCCTGCTGCGGTCTTGCACACCTTCACCCTTGACTCAGGAGCTTCCCGCTCCTTCTTTCGCGACTGCACCACACTCACGCCGCTTAGTCGGCCAGTTGCAGTCTCCCTGGCGGACCCCTCTGGGGGTCCTGTCCTTGCCCACTACTCCACGGTTCTGCCGTGTCCGGCCGCCCCGTCTGGCTCGCTGTCAGGTCTTTACCTCCCCTCGTTCTCTACGAACTTGGTGAGTGGAGCTGACCTCCAGGATGGGGGGGTTCACCAGTTCACTCCTGCGAGTCAGCGAGTGACTCACTGTACGTGTGCTCGGACGGGCCGACACCTGGCCACGTTTACCCGTGCACCTGGCTCGAGTCTGTACACACTCACCACTGAGTCCCCTCATGTAGCTGCGTCTGCGTCTGCGTCTGGTCAGCTGGCGGCCCCCTGCGAGTGTCGCGCTTTGTCGCACGACACTCTCCTGTGGCACCACCGCCTTGGTCACCCCTCCCTGCCTCGCCTTCGTAGCATGCACTCTCGCTCCCTGGTTTCTGGTCTTCCCAGGTCTCTGCCTGCCCTCCCTCCCTCGCCTGCGCCGCCCTGCATTCCTTGCGTCGAGGGGCGGCAGCGCGCCGCTCCTCACTCCTCCTCGTTCCCTCCCACAGAGGCTCCCCTGCAGACTCTCCACCTGGACGTGTGGGGCCCAGCCCGCGTCCGTGGACAGGGCCACGAGCGGTACTTCCTGCTGGTCGTCGACGACTACACGCGTTACACGCGTTCCCCTTGCGCAGCAAGGGGGACGTCCCTGATGTTCTGATCCCTTGGATCCGCGCTGTTCGTCTCCAGCTCCGCGAGCGGTTCCAGCGGGACTTTTCTGTCCTGCGTCTGCACTCTGACAGAGGTGGTGAGTTCACCTCAGACCTCTTGGCAGCCTACTGTGCGGAGCACGGCATCACCCAGTCGTTCACGCTTCCGGCCTCTCCGCAGCAGAATGGGGTTGCTGAGCGCCGTATTGGCTTAGTCATGGAGGTTGCTCGTACCTCCATGATCCATGCGGCTGCCCCCCATTTTCTGTGGCCGTTTGCGGTCCGGTACGCCGCGCATCAGCTCAACCTCTGGCCCCGTGTCTCCTTGCCGGAGACCTCGCCCACACTGCTGTGGACGGGGAAGGTTGGCAATGCGTCGCGTTTCCGGGTCTGGGGTGCTCGTGCCTTTGTCCGCGATACCACCGCGGACAAGCTCTCCGCCCGCGCTGTTCCCTGCGTCTTCCTTGGCTTTGTCCCTGACGCGCCTGGTTGGCAGTTTTACCACCCCACCTCGCGCCGTGTCTTTGCGTCTCAGGACGTCACGTTCGACGAGTCCATTCCCTTCTACCGTCTCTTCCCCTACCGCACTGCCCCGCTCCCCCCCCCCCCGCCGCTCTTTCTCGCTCCAGGTGCTCCCCAGGTAGACCCCCTCCCCGCTCCAGGTCCTGCTCCTTCAGGTGTGTCTCAGGTAGACCCTCCTCCCTTGACTGCACCGGTTGAGGTCACTGGTGACTCAGGTCCTACTGAGGGTGGTCCTGCTCGGGGTGCTACTTCTGGGGGTGCTGAGCCTGGGGGTGCGGAGCCTGGGGGTGCTGAGCCTAGGGGTACTGAGCCTGGGGGTGCGGAGCTTGAGGGTGTGGAGCCTGGAGGTGCTGAGCCTGCGTGTGAGGGGTCTGGGGGTGCTGAGCTTGGCAGTACTGAGTCTGGGGGTTCTCGAGCTGCTGAGGGTGCTGACGCTGGGGGTTCTCGAGCTGCTGAGGGTGCTGGAGCTGGAGGTTCTGGAGCTCCTAGAGGGCCTGATACTGGTGGCGCTGGAGTTGGAGGTTCTGGAGCTGCTGAGGGTCCTGCCGCTGGGGGTTCTGGAGCTGCTGGAGGTGCTGGTGCTGAGGGTACTGGCACCGGAGGTTCTGGAGCAGTTGGGGGTGCTGGCGCTGAGGGTTCTGAGTCTGCTGTTGCGCGGTCTCCTTGGAGTAGCCGCCTTCGTCCACGTGTGCCTCTCACCTCACAGCAGCTGCACGACTGGTACGGTCGCCGTCAGGGTCGCGCTGCTGGAGCTCGGGGCTCTGGTACACGAAAGAGAAACAGAAGAGGGGTTTGAACTAGAAAGGAGGGGGGTACAAATAGCAAGCCCTAAAAGGGTTATACTCACTATTGAGTACCCCACTACAGACTAGACAAGCATTATATTCTGACACTCATAACAGTAGGCGCGAAAGATGTGAGGTAGGGACCTCTGAGTAGGACAAATCGTTACCGTATCACCCCGGATATAAGCGCCGTCCGTTTAAGGGCGCCGGCGCTTCTATCTGGAGCCATGCGCTTATGGCCGGAACTCGATTATAAGCGCCCCCCCTGTGAAACCCTGATTTATTATAAGCGCATGCATAATTTTATTTTACAATCCTGTTTAAAACGGTAACGAATTTCGAATTTCAAACGAGTCACCACCCATTTTCAATTTGTTTGACTTTCGAAGGCTTCACTTGTCGCGCGTCCAGTCAGGATGAGCTGGCACGCAGGCAAAGTGACGTGCCAAATCTATGTGCACAGTAAGGGAATCTCCCTCACGCGATTCTGATTCATGACGCTGTAATTTTGAGTGAACTTACGACACTGAAAT